AAAAAAAAGCAGGAGACCAAGCAAATTTCTCGTACGAGTCGTGAAGCATGTTCTTGCGCAGATGAATGCTGAATTCAGTTCACTTACATCAAGTCGTTTGCAGAATTCAGCGAACTGTTTCTCCTCAAACTGCTGCTCGAAGTTCAGCGAGTGCAGTTTTAACCCCACCACGAAATTATCGTCATCCTTGATGTCATCCCTTGAATGAAGGCCAGGAATTGAACTTGTTAATTGAAATTGATAAAAGATGAGGCGTCATTTACTCGGAAACATAAGCTGAGTTGAATCGATTGCCAACAAAAATAATTTCGAAGCAGTGGGAGGTGCGGAGGACGTGGCTGTGAGTCGATTCCAGAGCTGTATGTTGGTGTGGCAATCACAGTTTTGTAGTGATAATATCTTGATGTTCAGTGATTGTCAGCGAATCCAATTCAATCAGGATTATTATATATATATATATATATATATATAAAATTTTAAAAGAGAATTTAGATTAGCTACCAACTCACCTTATGCCATTTATGACGTCAAAAAGAATTCGCGTTCGATTTGCCAGCGACCCACCGTATTGATCGGTTCTTTGATTTGATTCCGCAGCAACCAACTGAGCCAGTGCAAAATCCATACTAACGTTAATTTCAACACCATTGAAACCTGAAATTGACAGTGGTCAGACGAGAAGCAAGGTATAATGAAATGTGACTGAATAAGAGATTGGTAAAATTGTTGTGCGCAGATAACGATGAATTTGCAGTTTAAATCATCACAGCCATATTCTTACACCATGTTGAGGAACATTTGGCATGCATTCATCAGATATCACTCCACTCCTTCGCAATTTTTATGTCGTGATTGAAGAACGAAAGAGTAGACATCTGGCGTAATTCATACAACGATTAAGGAAGAATTCACTCGAAAACGTCACCACAATCTTTCGTAAATCTAGCAGCGAACACGTATCGCTCAACAATTTCTTTCAATTCATCCACTGATAGTTTGTTCATATCAACCGCCTTGAATTCTGGACTTGTTTTTATCGCCATCCTTCCGGGCTAAAATTTGAAACTGTTCCGCATGCTAGACTAGAGAAGAAAATAGATACGTTAAACTAAGCGCTGCTTATACTAGGAATGAGGTGTCACCAGTCATTTTCTTTTGAAAAATGTGCTGTAACGTGCCTGCAACGAATATAACAAATTTTGACATCCAACATCACGACAGTTTTTTGTGACACAAGCATTTCTCCTGAAGGGTATATTCAGTCAGCGATGGAACGGCTCCATCGGAAGCCGTAAAACATGAAATGAGTTGTAAAGGAACAGTTCAAGTGCAGAGAACATGAAAGAAGGGACTAACGTGCAGTAATTGAGCGAAAATCAGGGTTCCATGGGTAGCTGTAGACGCGAGTCGTTTGAATAGATCCCGCCTTAGTGGTGTATCAACTTCTTTGGCTACAACCATGTTACCAGTTCCTTCGAGGTCTCTCTGCGAATATTATGGATCGTCATTTTTGAAAATATTGATGGAACATAATGCAATCACAAGTCATATAATTCATAAAAAACAAACCAGATAACCAAACTTTTCAATTATCAAATAAAGCGGTGTGGGAGAAAATAATCAAAAATAAATACTTCTCAAAAGTGATTCCGAACGAAACAGAATTAACGAATCCAAGATAATCACCGTAGTGAGAGCCATGGGACCTGTAACCATAACCGCAGCACCTCCTGCATTCCACTTATCGTACAAATTGATGAGGGCCTCGGTAGGCAATCCACTTTTCAATGGGAGATTCAGATCATATGTTGAAATCTGTAATTAATGTTCCTCCACTCGACGACAATAAATTCAATCTTTCCGGGACCGAATCCACCGAAGTTGCGAATACTTTCGTGCTATCGCAACCAAGCCGCAGCAAGGAGGAATTCTACCTGCTGACAGAGTGCCAACGACGTCGCAATATATGAGAATTCTTTACGAAAATCTCACAACCTTCCAACTCTACACCAAAACCCAAATGTAACCAGATTAATGCACGGCAAAACCGTTCCGTTACGGCCGATTCTTGAAGACCGCAAGGAAGCCGATTCAAAAGCGATATATGGTGAACTGTCTAACCATTTCTGTCATTGGAGCTTTTATGATGACATTTTTTGCAAAAATTTTTGTTGCGATTGGGAAGTCAATCGGTTGTTGCAGTAACTCAATAGGTACCAATTCGCTCGCATAACGATTTTTATCTGTAAATTAAAATTAAAAAAAACAATGGTAAAGACAACAGATGCACAATCATTTCAAACATCTGGTTCGGTGAAATGAAAGGCATAAAATTGCATTTTTATAGCCGCATAATAAAGAAATGGGTTAATTCATTACCTGTCTGTGCCATTTTAACGGGGGTCATACTAGTAAGAACAATAATAAATGTGAGGTTATTCCTGAGCAGCAGTGTACTGCATACAGAGTGTGGTAACTGAGAGCGATATTTCTGCCTGCAAAACATTTTTACAAACATTTAAAAGTGTTATTCTTAATATTTCGCATTCCATATAAATGTGATGAGAAATCAACAAGAATACGGATTCCGCTTTAACGTAAACGAATAAATAACGAATATAACGAATATAACACTGAGAATTATGCAAATGAAAAAACTAACAGTCAATTTAGCGACAGCCAGCTACCCCTTAGGACAAAGGGTCTACGGCAATTTAGTCCCCGACAAGGTGCCACTCCGACAATTTGTGCGTATCTCATCATCAAGTTGACCGACTACAAGAATTGGCTCATTTCTCGAGCAGTGAAAATTTAAGTAGTGAAGTCTCAATCAAATAAAAAGGATGTGATCAACTGAAGGGAAAAAGTGCCGGAACAGAAGTTTGATCGGGCAATGT